AAATCAAATAAAAAAAGATTTAAGACATTTTTAAAAATATTTTAGAAGAGCTTTAAGTACCCGCAAACTTTAAATTATAAAATGTCTAGAATATCAAGCTTTTGATAACTTTCAAACATAATTTTATCATCAAGAAAAAGCTCAAAAATAAGTCTTCTTTAAAGGGAGGGTTAAGTTGAATATAAGATGGTGGTAAAGCAAAAGCGCAATGCCTGTGGTGCTTTGAAAAGCTTCTAAAAGCATATTTCAACGATGTATTGTAAATGTAGATTGTTTCTAAAATTTTACTAAAGATATCTACCAGTAGATATTTTTGGAATAAAAAATTGGTATAAACTATTTATTATAAACTATGATTTATCAGAAAAGTGCCGGAAAATTCAAACCATTCGGCTCCTTCACAACGGACGCCTTCAGTGGATCCAATGCAATGTTTCCTGTGGATCATAGATTTATTTATGGGAGTTACAGGATATTTTTGTCCAAACCGACTCGTTCCTATTTATCTACTACCTGCAATAGAAAACTTGTCTATTGATGCTGATCAATAAATTTGAGGCTTCTAAATATATACTTTATGGGGTCGGAAACGTCTACTTCATTGCGTTGCAGTCTTCTGAATGAAATTATTATTTTGTTTGCTAAAACAAAGGTTTATTGATCACTTTAGACATAGTTTTCTACCATTTATAATTTTCAGAATGAATTTGTTTTGATATTCGTTCGTGTAGGCATTTTAATAGTTTATATTAATAATATATGTATTTACCATATAGATTTTAGTGCTAATAATGTTATTATCTTATACATCCATCTTCATAATAATCATCTTAATCATAACATGTACTATCAGATAAGCGATACTCAGCTTTCGAGGGATAAAGAGATGTACAAGAAGCAAAGCGTCTGTTCCCAAGATTACACACACCCAAAAACAAATAACCTAAAATGCCCAAAAATGGCCCAGAATTTAGGTAAAATTTACCTAAACTTGGATCTAAGTCCATGTATTAGAATGGCCTAAAATGTAAGCAATTTTTGGACTATATTTTAGGTAATTAGATGCCTAACAAGAAAGGAAGTTAACTTCGGCAAGCCGAAGTTTGTATACCCTTGCAGTTATAATTATTAAATTTAATTCAAAATTCTTAAAAATACAAAAAATGATGTTCCCAATAGTATAAGATAATATGTCATATAAGATAATATGTCGTCCCTATGGCAGCTGTATAATATAGTCGTCCGATTTTGATAAAATTAAATTCGAAGTTCAGAACTACTTAAAAAATGTTTTTTCCAAGCGTAGGTTAGAGAAATTAAGAAGGTATAATTTTTAAAAATTCAATTATTCCTATGGGAGCTATAAGATGTAGTGGTTCGATCTGGCTGGTTCCGACTTAAATATTACCTGCTCAAGAAAGAAGACTTTTGGGAATGTTTCAGCCCGATAGCTTTAAAACTGAGAGACTAGTTTGCGTAGAAACGGACGGACAGACGGACAGAACGTCATGGCTACACCCAGAAAAAAGATGGACAACATTTTAGGTCACGCATGACCTTCAAATTTTAAAATGGACTAAAAGTTCATTTTTAGGTCACACACTGCCTAAAAAGTTACAGTTTTGTACTTTTTGCCACATTTTTTAGGTCACGAACAGCCTAATATTTTAGGTCATCGTGGGCCTTAAAAATATAGCATATTGTACTTAATTTTTAGATCACGTTTGCCCTAGAAATTAGGCTGGGGGTCAAAATGTGGGATACAAGTTTTAGATCAATGCTGGCCCAACTCTTAGGCCGTAAGACGCCTAAAATTAAGGCATTAGGTTTCCTTAGGCAGTTAATTGCCTAAAATATAGGCCAAAAATTGCACCAACATTTAGGCCGTAAGATGCCTAAAATGTAGGCTATATATACTTTATGGGGTCGGAAACGTCACCTTCACTGCGTTGCAAACTTCTGACTGAAATCATAATTCCCTCTGCAAGGGTATAAAAATAAAAAAAAATCCCAAAGCCTAAATTTGAGGCTTCTAACGGCCTAAAAGTTTTAAAAATTTTTGGTCTAGATTTTAGGTAATTGACTGCCTAAAAGTATAGGGAAAAAGCACAGAGCCATAATTTTAAGCATTTAACAACCTAAAAGTTTGGCCACCATTGACTTGTTAAAGTTGTTTTGGCTTAGTATAGTTTTTATCTTTAGGAGTATGTATATGAATAGGGGGGTTAATTATATTCTTAAGATTACATATTTTATGTATTCCATATCCGACATCCAATACCAATAATAATTTGGCATAAATTTTGTGAGCATCTCTTGAAGCAAAATAATATCTCTTATAACTAATACTTAATAATATGTTCAAATACAATATATTTTTGTTTATAACGGATATTTAAATTCTTACTAAAAGTAAAACATTTTGCCGATGAAAAATGTTTTTGTGAATAGGCTTCTTAAAATTGTTTGTAATGAACAGAATTTTCAAATTTACATGAAAATGTATATCTAAAAGATAAAAGAGTATGATAAAAAAGTAAAAAATAATCAAGGAGCTCTAGTAATTTAATAGCGAATTTCCAAACAGCTTCTTCCAAAGAAATCTTGTCTCAAACCATAAAAGGAAAGTAAAACAAGGATCAACGCTCTGCTGAAACAAACTTGCGCTGCGTAAGAAGCTCAGGAATCTGCACGCCAAATTTAAAGAGCCTAGCTCTTATAGTTTCCGAGATCTCAGCGTTCATCCGGACAGACAGACGGACAGACGGACATGGCTAGATCGACTCGGCTAGTGATCCTGATCAAGAATATATATACTTTATGGGGTCGGAAACGCTAGTATACCCTTTTACTCTACGAGTAACGGGTATAACAAGGATCAGCGCTATAGTCGAGTACCTCGACTATCAGATACCCGTTACTAAGCTAAAGGGACCAAACTTGCGCTGCGTAAGAAACTCAGGAATCTGCACGCCAAGTCTCAATAGCCTAGCTCTTATATTTTCCGAGATCTCAGCGTTCATCCGGACATGGCTAGATCGACTCGGCTAGTGATCCTGATCAAGAATATATATACTTTATGGGGTCGGAAAGGCTTCCTTCTGCCTGTTACATACTTTCCGACGAATCTGAAATACCCTTTACTCTACGAGTAACGGGTATAATGAACGTGTGTACCCACGAACCCGAATCTCACCCCTTACCCTCGAGTCCTTACTTATGACTGCTTGTGCGCGAAGGTGTGAAATTTTAATTTTGGGAGTTTTGTTCAAAATGTGCAGTTTTTATTTTAGAACAGAGAAATGCTTTCCTATGATACCAAATTTTGCCTTTTTCAGTCGAGTAGTGGGAATATACGGGAGCGGAGGTTTTCGCAGCGGCGGTTTTGGACTGTCGCTGCGATGACCGCCGCTGCGGTCTTATACTCTAGTACTCTACTCTATCCCCACGGGCCCAACAGATCAAATTTTCTAAACTTTTACTTTTACACTTTCTCCACTCTTTCTCCCAAACCAATTAATTTTTTTAACGTCTTGGTATGCAATCCTTTAATTTTTTTCATTACCTTAGAGTAACCTAAGTAAACTTCCTTTCTTGTTTTCAGTGCTATCTGTTATATTTGTAAAGTTCCGAAACAATTTGTTGTTGTTCCGGGCTTGGAATAATACTAACTTTAAATATACAAAAGTAAAATAAAACAAGAAAGAACGCTTAGTCGAGTGCCTCGACTATCAAATACACGTTACTCAGCAGCAAAGCGAGATTGAAACGCGACACCTACCAGCGATCTATATGGTTATGTGCGCGGTAGAAAGATTTAAGAGTACAAGTAGGTTAAAGCGGGGGGTATTTATCCCGACTGGCCCCAACAGAGCAAAACTTCTAAATTTTCACTTTTACACTTTCTCCACTCTTTCTCCCAAGGCAATTGATTTTATTAAAGTCTTGGTATGCAATCCTCTGAGTTTTTGCAATACTTTTCGATTGATGTATCACTCGAAACTATCGGACGATTACAGTATATTTTCATTTCTTCGTGTATACATAGAAGTTGCATTCACACACCCTCCGCGTGCGTTTCGTCACTACGCGGACTACCGTCCACAGTGATTCTTTAATAGCAAGAACAGAACTTAATTGCTATTATGAGTATAAGCATATTCCTGTGGGTGTACTGATACTGAAATGAAGGGCTTTGAAGCAATGTTATATAGCTCGAGCATCAGTCGAGTTGTGGCATTAAGTGTAGCTGGTTGTCCTAAATGGCATTGTCTTATTACCGTAATATCGGTACGTCCAAAGTTCATGACTTTTCGGATATTGTGGATAAATAGATTTACATATATATAGTATAGAAACATGGCGGTCTCCGAGAATAATTTTTAGTCATTTGCTGTTCTTCCAGTTATTGCGATATCGCTAACATGCAATATCCTTACCATCGCCACATATCTTTATGTTAAGAAGCTCCGAAATACACTCGGCAAGTGCGTTATAAGCAGCCTTTTGACCAACTTCATGTGGCAGAGCTTGGGTTTGATCCAAATGTGGCTCTCAGTACCCCATTCATTCAACAAAGGTTCGTTTTTTGTTAGGAAGTTGAAGACTTATTTTGGATATGAGAAAACACTTTTACTACTCTCATTGCAGTTCCTTTTGTCTTCTTTTTTGCACACAATTTCTGGGTCTCAGTCATGAGCTATCATTCATGGAGGACTTTTAAGTCTGTCAATGGCGAGGAACCCCGTTTTCTGTTCCTGGCCTACAATGTCTACGTGTGGGTTCCAACAGCGATTCTTCCTGGAGGCACTGCATTTATTTACCTTTTTTATGGCGAATTAATAAATATAGGTAATTAAACAAGTTCTTAAAAAATATTTGCTACCTCTTAAGTAAATCACAAACATACCTGTTTAAAAATGGTTTTTAAATGGTAGTTTATATGCAATATGTTTTGGTTTGTTTTTCATGACATTGTATGTTTCGTTTACAGCGGCAAAATTTTTCCTATGTACTTTTCTGGCTTTACTCATTTCGAGTGCCTTCACATTGATTATGTTCATTTTAACGATCACTCACATTCTGAAAGTAAAGAGGCAAGCTATGAAGTTAACCCAAGGAGATGAGGAGACTATGACCTGCTTAAATTTGGATAGTGAGACGTAAGTAATATTTATTTTGAAGCCTGCTATTAAAGATTTATACTTCCTACGTATTTGTAACATAGTTATTTGTACTGCCTTCGGATCCTCTTTGTGATGGGACTGACTTGGACTCCGTTTTTTATTAGTTATGTTGTGAGTTCAATTGGTTTCAGACATCCGATACTTAATGTTATCGACTTTTTAATTTGGGGCAATGGTACTTTCGTTTTTATACTTCTTATCCTTAAGCGCGACACCCTTAGGCTACTTGAGGATAGGTAAGTGACATAAAATTAAACATGATCTTTGACTAACCTTTTTTTCTCCTCCAAGTATTCGACGAAGACCAAAAAAGCAGTTTTTCCGCGCTCAGAGGGTAAAAAGCCGGGCTTAACTAAGGCTTACTTTTTATTGTCAAAACTGATAAAGAAACACTTTTCCTTTATGTATACAATTTTAATTCGATGTTAATTTATCTTTCTGAATAAAAACTTTCAATTTTTTGTGACCTATATGCATTTTATATGAAGTAGTAACGAGGTAAGTTCTTAGTACAGATTTGTAAAGCAAAAAAGTGTACATGTCTTAATTTGTATTGTATACCGTTTGATATGGTGGTTCGAATACATAAATATTAACAAGTAAAAGGGTGGCATTGGGATTTAAACCTGCGTATCATCGATTTCTAACCAAACGAACAGCAGTCCGGCCGCTGACATGTTTTGAAATTAAATATTTTGGTGCGACAGATAATATTTCTCAGAAAAAATATATACATTTTAGAAATGACTTCTTTTGTTTTAGAGAACCTTTCTACCTTTTATAAAAATTTATCTTTTTTAGGGTAAGAAACATTTTAGGGTGTTCATTTATAGAAAAGGTAATGAAAAACAATTTTATTTTTAAGCCTATCTATTTTTCAGAAAAAAAAATCTAGATATAAAGACATTTTTTCTTGTTTTAGGGCGATTTCAGTTTATGGTAACCAAATCCTAAACTCAAGTAACGCTTTCTTGGCTTAAAAAAAATTTTCTTGATTTAAGAAACTTTTTCTTGACATAATGAAAAATAATTTTCTTGTATTTAGAAGAAATAAATTTTAATGGCGATTTTCTAAAATGTAAGGTTGATTTTACTGTATTTGTAAAACAAAGGCTAAGTAATGCATTTTTAACAAAACAAATAAAATTAAAGCACCTAAAGCACCTCGAGAAAAATAAAATAAAATATCATTTCTTTAAAAGCATTTTAGGAAAATAAATTTAATTTACTAAACGAATGAAAGTTTTCTAAAATTATACAACTATAACGCCATTCACACAAAAAAGAAACATTTTATTGAGCGACATGTTAAATTTCAATAAATACTAAAATACCGATTAGGTCTGGCCGGTACTACTTTTCTTATCGCTAGCTGTTTATCCTGATGAAGGCTGCCATAGGCTTGAGTCGAATTCAGTGCTATATGTGTATTTAGTCCACCAAAACCCTGCTGCGAACAACAATTTTAAAAAAGTGGTCCGCGATAAAAAGCTTTTTAATCACCACATTACGTTCAGTTCTTTGTATAAAGTTAATATATTTAAAATGCTGTGGACTTGGGAACATACTGGTGAAGTTTTTTTTAAAGACCACTATGATATTGAAAACATCTTGATGACTAAATAAATATACCGGCCTAACTTTATTATTTCTGTTTCTGTTCCTACAGTTCTCGTGATTTCAATGATCTGCGATATTCTTACCATTGCCGTTTATAGTTACGTAAAGAAACTCCGAAATACACTCGGCAAGTGCGTTATTAGCTGCCTACTCAGCATGGTCATGATGCAACTTCTTTGGATACTAGGCCTTTTGGAGTTATTGGATCTTAACCTTTACTTGGGTATGTTATTGAAGTAATATCTGGTCAGATTGCAAATATTTTCTAAGCTTTTATTATTTTCAGTATTGTATGCTACGGTATTCTTCCAGGGCGCATACGTTGTGTGGCTTTCTGTCATTAGCTATCACCTGTGGGAAACCTTCAAGCCTCTCAAGTGTGATGATCATCGATATCAATTTCTGCTCTATAGTGTTATTGCTTGGATCACGGCTGCTGGCACTGTAGGATTGTATATGAATACGTATACATTGTATATCTTGGTGTTTGGGCTTGGTAATTTGATATAACGTTTAGAAAGTGTTACAGTAAAACTTCCACAACTTGTACCGGTTGAAAACAAAAAAAATGTACATATCTACATTTTTACTCTTGGAAGTTAAGTTAATCTAGTCTAGTTTGAATCCTTTACTAACCAGAAATCACTTCATCGACAAGTCGTGTAAAATATACACTCCTGATAGATTTTTTTCTGCCTAAGACCAAATTTATGAGCATTGCAAAAGAGTTCAAAGAACTCTCACAGTTTTGAAAGTTTGACTAGTAGTTTACTAATGGTGTAATACTATTGACTCTTTGAGAATTGACTGTATTAAAAAAACCACTCTGTGTCAGATCTCATTAATTTAGGATTCCAGATCCTACGAATATTCAATTTGATCATGTTTGTGTTGACTGTCATTAACATTCGGAAAGCAAAGAGAGAAATTGTGAGGTTTGAGCAACAGAAAGACACCACAAAGACCTGCTTTAATTTCGATGCCCAAACGTAAGACCAAACGTATACCGGGTTTCGAATATAACGTTTCATCTTGTTTCCTTGATTTATTTTTCAAACATAGATATGCAGTCTACTTGAGAATTTCCGTCATCATGGGCGTAACTTGGATTTTTCATACCATTATTTGTTTTTTTTAGAATTTTTCACGTCTATTACTTGGTTAAAAAGTTAACTTATGCCCATTACTGTTTTGGTATTATATATTTTGTTTTGCTTATCCTTAAGCGAAGCACCCTTTTGCTTTTAATAGATAGGTAAGTCCTATGTGGTCAAAACAGAGACTCGAATAACACGTTCTCTTTTCCCACAGCATTCATGAAAGAAGAAATGAGAAGCGAGTCCGTGCTCAGAGGAAAGAAGACCTGGCACAAATATCTAAACGCATCCAGAAAAAAAACATAGTAAATGCTAATGCAGTCCATCTCGTGTAACTCGAATCTCTGCCCCCAAAATAATAAATTCGAGTTTAATAAAAAGAAGGAAGATCGCTATAGTCAAGTACCTTGTCTATCAGGTACCTGTTACTGAGCTAAAGGGACCAAAGGGAAATGGAGATATGCGAGCGGCAATGCGAGATTGATATGCGATACCTACCCGCGATCTCAATATATGGTTATGTGCGCGGTAGACAGATTTAAGCTCTATGGGCGTTAGAGTGGGCGTGGCGATCAATCGATAGGTATTAACAAGACTAATACATTTCAGTTAAAATTGTTTATCTAGCATGACAATTGTGGGCGCCACTGGCTTGGGAGGTTTGTGGGCGTTAGAGGGGGCGTGGCATATTCGCGTAACAAACTTGCGCTGCGTACAAGGCAACGGAATCTACTTCTGAAATCGCAATTCTCTATCCTTGATAGTTTCGGAGATATCCGCGTTCATATCTACGATATTTTAAAGTTTGTGAGCGGTTTGTGGGCGTTAAAGTGGGCGTGGCACTGTGCTGAAACAAACTTGCGCTGCGTAAGAAGCTCAGGAATCTGTACGCCAAATCTCAATAGCCTGGCTCTTATAGTTTCCGAGATCTCAGCGTTCATCCGGACAGACAGACGGACAGACGGACATGGCTAGATCGACTCGGCTAGTGATCCTGATCAAGAATATATATACTTTATGGGGTCGGAAACGCTTCCATCTGCCTGTTACATACTTTCCGACGAATCTAGTATACCCTTTTACTCTACGAGTAACGGGTATAAATAGTAATCCCATACAAACATAAATTAGAAAAGCAAATCAAATTATTTATAGCATTATGTTTATCTGGCTTGGAAGAACAAAACATATTTACTCTAGCAAGGTTTGGAAATCTGGAACGCTAATCGTAAAGTTTTCGAGCATGGCCTCTTCTATTATAATAGAAATAAGTTCGTCCCGAAGCATTTGGGGAAGATAAAGATGAGCGGTAATAACATTTCTAGAATCTTAGAAATTCTGTACTGGGTTCTTCCACAAATAACTGTAAGCACGTGTTTCACGCGTAAAAAGTGAGTACGTACAAACAAGTGTACATACATATATAACTTTACCGTCATTCGGCGACTTTTCGTTCACATAAAAAAGAGAAATACAAACACCCCCGGACGAATTGGCTTATAAGCCAAGTGTGACCGTTCTAGGATTTTTGAAAGAACGGCGAGGACGTCAAGAAATCCAAAAGCCACGGTCAGCCGATTAAAATTTAACATTTATTAAAATAAAAAATTTCTTTTTAAATTTGCATTTAAAAATGCTAGCCATAAATGTATATAACTTTGTTTAAATCAAATAATTTGATTTTGACACCCTTTGAGAAATAATATAATTTTAGTACTTAATTAAATTAATTGCAATTATATAAGGATGTTTCCAGTTATTATCTGTTCCAATTCTTTACCCAGATCTTTTTTTTATTTAAAAAAAAAACGTGGCAAACAAGGCTTGTGCTATTATTAAGTTGTATTCGGTCTTGAACGAAATATTTTTAATCTTGATTTGAAAACTTCCGTAATTCATTTAAGAATTTTTTCTGCTTGATCTTATTTGAATCCAAATTGTACTCAATTTAAGAATTTTTCAGTACGAACGTTCTCAAAAAGTTCAGCATTAAATCGTTCTTAAGTCAAGGCTGTTTGTACTTCTTTTTAGCGCGGCGTTTTTCCCTGAGTGTAGATTCGTCGGAAAGTATGTAACAGGCAGAAGGAAGCGTTTCCGACCCCATAAAGTATATGTATATATTCTTGATCAGGATCACTAGCCGAGTCGATCTAGCCATGTCCGTCTGTCTGTCCGGATGAACGCTGAGATCTCAGAAACTATGGGAGCTAGGCTATTAAGATTTGGCGTGCAGATTCCTGAGCTTCTTACGCAGCGCAAGTTTGTTTCAGCAGAGTGCCACGCCCACTCTAACGCCCACAAACCGCCCAAAACTTTGGCTCCTACAGTTATGATGCTGGAATAAAAATTTAAACTGAAATGTATTGTTCTCAACAATACCTATCGATTGACCCAAAAAAAAGTTTGCCACGCCCACTTTAACACCCACAAACCGCGAAAACCTGTGACGCCCCCAAATTTCATGCTAGATAAAAATTTTAACTGAAATGTATTGGTCTCGTCAATACCTACCGATTGATCAAAAAAAATAGTAACTGACAATTTTAATTAGTTTTAAATTTATCCTTCTGAATATAAACTTACGTTTTCATATGTCCGCCGGCGGGATCGAACCCGTTTCTTCTGCGAAAGAAGTGAACACTTGTGAATTCTCTACACGCAGGATATAATCAAGTATTTCGTGCCTGAATCAAGTATTTTCGTTGTCAAAACAATCAAGTATGAATAGTTCTTAAATCTAGTCATATTTTTACTAAGAACTAGATCGATTTAATAGTAAAGTAAGAAAGTTGCAGGTATGATATATTGTAAATTTAAATTGGTTATTAATTATTTGTTAGTAAGAGAAATAAGTGTTGAAGTAATATTATAATATTAATTTAAGTAATATTTATTATTTAAGTTTACTTACGACTTGTCGCTCAAGGGCATTAATTTATGCGCCTATATAACGAGCTCTTTTAGAATAAACAGTTGGGAATTCTTAGATATTTAAAACCAAAATGTGCTTAATGTGAGAGCTTTTTTTTTTAGCGCGAACGTTCTTTAATGGTAAGCATGTAATCGTTCTTAAACCAAGGCTTTTTGTACTTTATTCTAGAACGGTGTTTTTCCCTGAGTGTATCAATAGCGCTTTAGGTACATATCTATGCATTTTAAATGAAGTGTAGCCATGGGAGTTTAAAAAATATTTCTTTTTTTAGAGAACCTTTATACCTCTTATAAAAGTTTATATTTTTTAGGGTAAGAATAATTTTAGGGTTAGGGTATTCATTTATAGAAAAGGAAATGCAGAACAATTTTATTTTTGCGTTAAAAAAAATACATTTTTTCTAGTTTTTAGGGCAATTCCAGTTTATGGTTACCATTTCCTATATTAAAGAACGCTTTCTTGGCTTAAGAAAAATGTTCTTGATTTAAACAAAATTTCCTTTACTTAAGAAAGAATTTTTTTGTAATTAAAAAAAAGAAATTTTAATGACGATTTCCTAAAATTAATGGTTCATTATATTTTGATTGTATTTGTAAAAAAAATTGTAAGTAATGAATTTTTTACAAAACAAATTAAATTAAAGCATCTTCTCTTCGAGAAAAATTAAACAAAATATCATCACTTTAAAAACATTTAAAAGAAGAAAGGAACTTAGCTTCGGCAAGCCGAAGCTTGTATACCCTTGCAGTTATATTTATTAAATTTAAAAATACAAAAATTATACTCAAAAGTATATATGTCAGAAAACACCGAAGCTATAATTTCTTTCATATTATTTTCCCACCAATTTTCCGATCGTTCCTATGGCAGCTATATGATATAGTCGTCCGATTTTGATAAAACTTAATTCGAAATTCAAAACTAATTAAAAAATGATATTTCCAAGCTTAGGATGTTATATGTTAGAAAACACCAAAGATATATATTTTTAAAATTTTTTTTCCGATGATTCCTATGGCAGCTATAAGATATAGTAGTCCGATCCGGCTGGATCCGACTTATATACTACCTACAAAAGATATAAGACTTTATCAGCCCGATAGCTTAAAAACTGAGAGACTAGTTTGAGTAGAAACGGACGGACAGACGAACATGTCTAGATCGACTCGTCTAGTCATGCTGATCACTTCACTGTGTTGCAAACTTCTGACTGAAATCAATATACCCTCTGCAAGGGTATAAAAAACAAATATTATTTACTAAACGAAAGAAAGTATTATAGAATTATAAAACTATAACGCCATTCACTCAAAAAACGAACATTCTATTGAGCGACATTTTAAATTCCAGTCAAAGCCATTTCGAATCCCTATAGACATTTTTTCCTGATAAAATACCGATTTAGGTCAAGCTGGTACTACTTTTCTTGTCGCTAGCTGTTTATCTTGATGAATGCGTGCCAAAAGCTTGAGTCCAATTCAGTGCTGTATGTATATTTAGTCCACCAAAACTGTGCTGCGAACAACAATTTAAAAAAATTGGTCAGCGATAGAGGGCTTTTTAATCACCCATGAGCAATTTAGTTCGGATCTTTGTAGAAAATCAATATATTTAAAATGCTGCGGACTTGGGAATTTACCGGTAAAGTTATTTTTTCAAAGATTGTGACTTCTACGATTTTGTGAAGGAAGGATTAAAACGTGATTTTTGCTTGGATAGCTAAACAAATATACCGGCCTATCTTTATTATCTCTGTTTTTGTTCCTTCAGGTGTCGTGACATTAATGATCTGCAATATCCTTACCATTGCCGTTTATAGTTACGTAAAGAAACTCCGAAATACACTTGGCAAGTGCGTTATTAGCTGCCTACTTTGCAAGGTCATGATTGAACTGTATTGGATACTAATCGTTTCGGGTTTATGGATGGTTCTACCTGATTTCGGTATGTTATTGAATGAATATCTGGTTAGATTTCCATTATTTTGTAAGCTTTTAGTATTTTCAGTAATATATCCTGCGCTATTCTTCCAAAGCGCTCACGTTGTATGGCTTTCTGTCACTAGCTATCACTTGTGGCAAACATTCAAGACTCTCAGGCGCGATGATCATCGATATCAATTTCTGGTCTATAGTGCTATTGCTTGGATCACGGCTGCTGGCACTGTAGGATTGTATATGAATACGTATACATTGTATATCTTGGTGTTTGGGCTTGGTAATTATACCCGTTACTCGTAGAGTAAAAGGGTATACTAGATTCGTCGGAAAGTATGTAACAGGCAGAAGGAAGCGTTTCCGACCCCATAAAGTATATATATTCTTGATCAGGATCACTAGCCGAGTCGATCTAGCCATGTCCGTCTGTCCGTCTGTCCGTCTGTCTGTCCGGATGAACGCTGAGATCTCGGAAACTATGAGAGCTAGGCTATTGAGATTTGGCGTACAGATTCCTGAGCTTCTTACGCAGCGCAAGTTTGTTTCAGTAGACTGCCACGCCCACTCTAACGCCCACTCTAACGCTTACAAACCGCCCAAAACTGTAACTCCTACAGTTTTGATGCTAGATAGAAAATTTTAACTGAAATGTATTGTTCTCATCAATACCTATCGATTGACCTAAAAAAAAGTTTGCCACGCCCACTTAAACGCCCACAAACCACGAAAACCTGTGACGCCCACAATTTGCATGCTAGATAAAAAATTTTAACTGAAATGTATTGGTGTCGTCAATACCTATGGATTGATCCAAAAATAAATTTGCCACGCCCACTCTAACGCCCATAACGCTTAAATCTGTCTACCGCCGGTAGGTGGCGCATTTTAATCTCGCTTTGCTGCTTGCATATCTCCATTTCCCTTTGAGTAACGGGTATCTGATAGTCGAGGTACTCGACTATAGCGTTCTTCCTTGTTTTTTTAATACAGTCAATGCTCAAAGAGTCAATAGTATTACAGCATTTGGTTATAAATAACTTAGAATCCACTAGTAAAACTTTCAAAACTGTGAGAGTTCTTTGAACTCTTTTGCAATGCTCACCCATAAATTAGGGCTTAGGGAGAATCAAATCTATCAGGGGTGTAGCCTAATCAGTGTAAGTTTCATATATGCATCAATATACATTTTACACGACTTGTCGATGAAGTTTTTCTTGTAAGTAAAGGATTCTGTTAGTGCTGTAAATTCCAACAACTTCTTAAATTAACTTCTAGGAATGAAAAGGTAAAATTTTTCCCTTTATTTTGTTCTCTACTGATGGTACAAGTTATGAAAGTTTTACTGTAGTACTTTCTAAACACTATGTAAAACAAGGAAGAACGCTATAGTCGAAAACCTCGACTATCAGATACCCGTTACTCAAAGGGAAATGGAGATATGCAAGCAGCAAAGCGAGATTAAAATGCGCCACCTACCGGCGGTAGACAGATTTAAGCGTTATGGGCGTTAGAGTGGGCGTGGCAAATTTATTTTTGGATCAATCCATAGGTATTGACGACACCAATACATTTCAGTTAAAATTTTTTATCTAGCATGCAAATTGTGGGCGTCACAGGTTTTCGCGGTTTGTGGGCGTTTAAGTGGGCGTGGCAAACTTTTTTTTAGGTCAATCGATAGGTATTGATGAGAACAATACATTTCAGTTAAAATTTTCTATCTAGCATCAAAACTGTAGGAGTTACAGTTTTGGGCGGTTTGTAAGCGTTAGAGTGGGCGTTAGAGTGGGCGTGGCAGTCTACTGAAACAAACTTGCGCTGCGTAAGAAGCTCAGGAATCTGTACGCCAAATCTCAATAGCCTAGCTCTCATAGTTTCCGAGATCTCAGCGTTCATCCGGACAGACAGACGGACAGACGGACAGACGGACATGGCTAGATCGACTCGGCTAGTGATCCTGATCAAGAATATATATACTTTATGGGGTCGGAAACGCTTCCTTCTGCCTGTTACATACTTTCCGACGAATCTAGTATACCCTTTTACTCTACGAGTAACGGGTATAAAAAACAACTCTGTGTCAGATCTCATTAACTTAGGATTCCACATCCTACGTATATTCAATTTGGTCATGTTTGTGTTGACTGTCATTAACATTCGGAAAGTGAAAAGAGAAATTTTGAGGTTTGAGCAACAGAAAGAGACCACAAGGACCTGCTTTAATTTCGATGCCCAAACGTAAGACCAAACGTGTTCCGGTTTGCGAATACAACGTTTCATCTTGTTTCCTTTCAAACATAGTTATGCAGTCTACTTGAGAATTTCCGTTATCATGGGCGCAGCTTGGATTTTTAATTCCATTACTGAACTTCTTAAATTTGACGACTATTACTTTGGTTTAATCGGAGCTTTAATCCATTTCTTTTTTGGTATTATCCATTTTTTTTTGCTTATCCTTAAGCGAAGCACCCTAAAGCTTTTAATAGATAGGTAAGTCCTATGTGGTCAAAGCAGACACTCCAATAACACGTTCTCTTTTCCCACAGCTTTCATGAAAGAAGGAATGAGAAGCGAGTCCGTGCTCAGAGGAAAAAAGACCTGGCACAAATATCTAAACACATCCAGAAAAAAAACATAGTAAATGCTAATGCAGTCCATCTCCTATAACTCGAATATCTATTTTCCAAATAATAAATTCGAGTTTGAGAAAAAATATTTTGTTCTTGATTTCTAAAACTTCGGTCTTTTCATCACTTTACACGTACACTTTCATAATCTTCAGAATTAATTTATTTTTATACTTGTTTGTGTAAGTATTCTACTAGTTATTATTATTAAATATAGATTACCTGGGAGTATTGTCCCAGACATTACATAATTCGAGTTAGCTGCATCGTTCTTTCTTCGTCTTCGGATTAATCGTCTTGTCCTTCTTCGACTGTGGCTTTAATACTTACGAGTTTATGTTAAATAAAACAGAAATCGTTTCTTGACGTAACAATGGTTTTATTTCTTAGATAAAAAGTCGTCTTCTTAAGTCGGGGGTACACTTTGAAGTAAAACTAAATTCGTTATACATGTAGTGGGCTTAAACAGAACTCGACGTCAGCATATTGCTGGCAGAGTGGCTGCGGAAATACAAAGCAGACAGCAGCATTTTTGAGTATTTTGGCCAATGTGTTGCTGCGCTCTAGATGCTAGCGCTGCATTTCTGTTTAGGCGCAGCGAGGAAGCGGTAGCTATATCTGAGGCAGCTGGCGGGCGGTCAGTGCTCTTCCGTTGTCACGCTGCTGCCGTTGCAATTCTGCCGCTGACGTTCGGTCTCTGCATCACTGTCGCTGTCGTTGTATCTCTGCTGCTGGTCTCTTAACTTAGCGGCTGCATTATTGTATCCACTTGAGATTGTAGCTACTTGAATGTTTGTTGTCGTTGTGTGGCAGGTAGAAGGAAGCGTTTCCGACCCCATAAAGTATATATCTATAGTCATGATCATCACTAGCCGAGTCGATCTAGCCATGTCCGTCTCTCTGTCCATCTGTCCGTATGAACGCTGAGAACTCGAGAACTATAAGAGCTTGAACATTTATACCCTTGCAGAGGGTATTATGATTTCAGTCAGAAGTTTGCAACGCAGTGAATGATACGTTTCCGACCCCAAAAAGTGTATATATTCTTGATCAGCATCACTAGACGAGTCCGTCTGTCCGACTCACCATCTGGCAGTCTCTAAATTTTAAAGCTATCTGGCTGAAACTTTCGCAAAAGTCTTCTTTTTTTGCAGGTAGTATATAAGTCGGAACCAGCCGGATCGGAAAACTATATCTTATAGCTCCCATAGGAATAATCGGAAAAAAGAAGTTAAATAATTATATATTTGGTGTTTTTATACCCTTGCAGAGAGTATATTGATTTCAGTGAGAAGTTTGCAACGCAGTGAACGAGACGTTTCCGACACCATAAAGTATATACATTCTTTATCAGCACGACTAGACGAGTCGATCTAGCCATATCCGTCTGTCCGTCTGTCCGTCCGTCCGGATGAACGCTGAGATCTATGAGAAACTATGGGAGCTAGGCTATTGAGATTTGGCGTGCAAGTTTGTTTCAGCAATGTGCCACGCCCACTCCAACGCCCACAAACCGCCCAAAGCTGTGGCTCCTACAGTTTTGATGCTAGAATAAAAATTTTAGCTGAAATGTATTGTTCTCATCAATACCTATCGATTGACCCAAAAAAATATCTCGAAAACTATCAAAGATAGAGAATTGGGATTTCAGATTTAGATTCCGTAGCCTTATACGCAGCGCAAGTTTGTTACGCAAATATGCCACGCCCACTCTAACGTCCACAAACCGCGAAAACCTGTGACGCCCACAATTTTAATGCCAGATAAAAAATTTTAACTGAAATGTATTGGTCTCGTCGATACCTATCGATTGATCCAAAAAATTTGCCACGCCCACTCTAACGCCCATAACGCTTAAATCTGTATACCGCCGGTAGGTGGCGCATTTTAATCTCGCTTTGCTGCTTGCATATCTCCATTTAGCTGAGTAACGGGTATCTGATAGTCGAGATACTCGACTATAGCGTTCTTCCTTGTTTTTACTATAATCGCAACACTCTCCCCTAAGCTTAAGCTAGTCTAAGAATAAAGTAGGAGTCAGATCATAAGAAATAAAGCTTTGATCGGGCAGGATCTCAGTACAGACCGCACAAGTGGCCACACACGTTAAGGCTACTATCTCATTTGAAGTCTGATTTAGTTATTGATTTTATAATAGAGGAGCCCAACAAGCAATCGGCGTGCGGGAGCGACTCGGACTCCTAGATCTACAATGATGTGCAAAATTATAAGATTAATTAAGTTTTCAAGTAAGGGAATCAAATTCAAAAACTTACCGTGGCTCTGAAACGTTGTTGTCTATCTCCATATCAGTTTTTCTAAGCTCTAACTTTAATCCCTGTAGTGCCAAAATCGCATGTTCTAATTTAATCTCAATGATTTTTTCTTTTCTTTAAAAGAGTTTTTAACCATGACTGATTTTGAAGTGAAGTGGGGGAATGGAAGATGGGCAAGGAGCTAGAACTAGATGAAGAACTGAATTGCATATCGATTAATTAGGTGTCCTTAACTATTTCAAATTGCCTATGATTGGGTCCTGTTTTGCGGAGTCAAATTTTCAATTTATCTTTTTAAAATTTGTTTGCGACCTTCTCTACCTTTTCATCTCCTATTTTTTATATTATACATTTTAAAACTAAAAAAAATTAAATATTTTTGAATCAAGGCTCCATGTGTTCTTCCTCTTCCATAAACATGAGTCATATTTTTCCTGATCTTTGACACCCCATTCTGCATAGCAACAACCCCTCACCATTGCTTCACAACACCTACCATCCCTTTCACCTATCTCTGCACTCATCCTCTCACCTTAAGATGAGACAGCAAATAATAAATAAATATTTATATCGTGATACTTTTTTCAACTGAAAAATTCACATGCACAGCTCCAGTTTCCCAACCCGACTCCGTGGAGGGCGCTCCTCTTCAAATCCAGTTTCCCCTTTCCACCACATTGGCGCGATCAAATGTTAGATTCCACCGATTTTCTGACAGAAATGTTAAGATGTAACGTTTTCTAACATAGAAGTTTAGAATTTTCTGTTAGATTTTGATATATCTTAACATTTCTGATCGATTTTGATACAACTTAACATATCTGTTAGAAAATCGAATTTTTTTGGTCTGGCAGCACGAATATTTTTAATTTGCTAGTGGCAACGCTAGAAAATTTAAATGAAAAATAATAGTTCTGAGTATCTTAAAATCTGGTTTAAGTCTTCACTACGGCAGTAAATCAAGTTTTCAACCTTTTCAATTTCAAATTCTTACATTTATTTTACAAACTGCTTGACAGAAAGCAGTTCTGTGACCACATTACCGAACAGCTTTATATTTTCTCCACAAAGGGGCGCCAGTGTATGCCTTTTAAAACATTATCCCCGTAAGATATAACTAGCTTCCACTGAAACATATTTTCGCATCGCAAAACGAAATTTGTGAACTTATAGATTTTTTGTCACAACATTTTGTTAACGAAATTGTTTTGCGTTGAGTTTGCGTTCGTCTTTTACCTTGTGAAGATGAAATTTGGTTTAGATATAATGTTCTTTAAGGTTGTTCTACGTCAAACGTGACTCGGTCATTTCCTCTAATTTAATATAGTATAACAGTTTTATGTACATGGACATAACCGAGTCTTAAGGTATTTAAATGTTCCTAACCCTTGGGATCCTCCTAAAAAAAGCAAAATTAAGCACACGTCGCTGTTTTTTTTGGCCTCTCCATCAATACAAATTGTATCGAATTCTTTTAATGGGTGACCCCAACCAACTTTTGAAGCTTTATTTTAAGTCGTGTTGTATTTGATTGTTTAAATATTCATAACTAGAAAAGTTCCAATTAGGTACCATTCATTGGGTAAACTTGAAATGAAAAAATGGTATTCAAAAAGTATTCAACCAATCATGTTTTCTGAAAATCACCACTGATCAAAAGAGGTTTAAAAATTAATGAATTCCAAGTGAAACTCTTTTTAAATGTTTTAACTTTAAAGTTAAAGTTCAGCTTAGCGGTAGGCCTTTACCAAATCCATTGACCTGTCCTTGATTGACCATTAGGACATTACTTCGCCCGTTCCCATAAAAATAAATTGGGCATCTTACGTTGTTAAATTTTATTTTAAATGGTTTTTCTCTTTCAATTACAAATGTATTTAATATTATTGTTGTTGCTGCTGCTTTTTCGTATATTTTGTTGTCGTTAACGCATTTGATTTTTGACTTGAGTTGCTGTTGTATATTTTTATGTGCGCATAAAAATCGTTTCACAATCAACAACATTATTTAATTTTTGTTTTGATTTATATTTTTAAAATGCATTTTGTTTGTAAATAAAATAATGTCTGCATGAATTTTTGTTAAAGTATTCGCTTGCCAGTTTCCCGTATCCGCTTCGCTTTATATAAATATGTAGTGTATATATAATTTGCCTTCGGTTTTCATTTATTTTATTATTAAATTACATTTCACAAAATACAATTCACAACTACACTTGACGTCAAGTTTCTGGTTTCCGTGTGTCTTCAACTAATCCATCAATCACCGCCCAGCTTTCAATCCTCTCCTATCATGACCTATCAATCTATAATCCACTCCGTAGTGAAATATTTTCTTTTTAAAATTAAAAAATCGTATACATTCGCAAATTGCAATCAATTTCGTTTCATCAATTTAGTAAATTAGTTTTCAATCACAAAAAATTAACGGAAAATGTTTGGAGTCGAGAATTATATTTGCATTAGTTATTTTTACATTTTACCACTTCAATTCATTTGGATTTCCATTTACGTATATTCGTTACACTCTTTAGCCTTTAATATTTGGTATTCATAGATAAAAGCGTTTGCTATGTACGCCTTGAACTAAAGTTTGAGAAATGCAAAAGTCCTTTTGGGGATCCAACTTTCTCTGAGAGAACTAAACTAAACGCTACTAGCTAGCAATATTTTTTAAGCTTATTAACAACATCAAATAGTACGCGTAAATGGTTGTATTGGTTTTTTTTGCGTTCAATATGTATAATATGTTTATTAAACATTGTACGTCTTGTAGAGAAATTAGCTAATTAATGATTACTCTTTTTTGGTTTTTGTTTTCTGCTTTTGTTTGCTTAACTTGGAGAGCTTCGTTTTAATGATACGTATAAGTGTTCGAGGGATTCTCTTGTAAGTGCGAAAAATCAATAAAAAATAAACAAGAAATGAATAAACAAAGCAACGCAAGGGAAAATACTTACTTGTCATGCATAAGGAAATCATGTTAAAACGATAAGAAAGTAACTCAAAACTGAAATATTTTGTATATTGTTTTTATTACAGCTTTTGCATTTTTTCGTTTTGTGTATAGAAATAGTTATAGTTGCTAAAAAACATTACACACATAGTTGTTGCTATATCATATAATTTCTAATATAAAGTTAATCCCTTCTTTCTTGTTTTGTTTCGTATGTGAAATGGTTTGAAATGCTAACAGTTAAATTGTTGCTTTTACCATGTAATATAAATATTAAATTTAAATACAATAGTTTTTAATGCTTGATAGATATTTCGTTTTGCTTTTGCTTGCCATTTTCTTCTGTTTTTGCTTACAACTAAGGTTACATTTAATTTAATACTCTTATATAAAAGTTTTAGCTTTATACAATTTTTATTTTTGCTTCTTTTATAAATGCAAAAAAATGCCCTGCATCGGCTGCAAAAGTTGGCAATTTCCATTTACTCATTTATTTGTATGGTGATGGGGGAGAAGGATTTGGTAGTACTTTTCTTTTTTGGGTTTTGTGTGTAAAAATTAAATTCAATTGTTGAGCTTAAATGCAGAGTTGCTTTTGATGCTGAAATGCAAGTTACTATATTTATATATATATATTTTAGTTTCAGGGAATCCCTTATATCTGAACAAACTAGGCGCGGTTCGAAAATATGTACAAAACTTAGTGTTGGATAATGCCTTAGGTTATGTTAAATAATTTACAAATGGTATCTGGCAACACTGACTGCCTGCTCTTTGATAATGCGACAACCCTAAAATCGCAACTAACTTCCTACGGGCATTCGAAGTGTTTTTTGTATTTAATTTTTTATGCGTTCGTAATGTTTAATGTTTACGGTTAGGTTAAGGTTAATAGTGTAGTTAGTTTGATTAAAAGTTAGTTGTAATTTCGAAATATGGCTCGTGGCTCTGACTTGGCAGTGTGGGCAGATTCCGCTCGCTACTTTGCCCCCGAGTGCTCTACGTGGCGGTTACTTAATTGGTTTTGCGTTTCTCAGTCTATTTCGTTGAGGAAAGTGTTTGTGGAAGGGAGTAACAACGGAAAAGGTGACGTTATAAATATGTCGTTAGGAAAGTAGTTAATGGCAGGTGGAACAAACGCGCTTCAACTGGATTCGATCGTTCTTTCGCTACGCCTGAGCTCTTTGCTCATCTGCTTTTGAAGACAAAGGTTTTTTTTGGACTAGAATCTTGTGCGCAGATCGGTTGCTTACCACATCTGTAATGGTTACTTTCGTCCTTGTTTCGAATTCCAACTCATAAACAGTTTGGCGGAATGGTAATCGGTGAGCTTTTAAACACATAAATTATATAAAGTAAAAGAAAAATTTTCTTTGAACTTGAAAAAGGCTTGTTCCAAGCAAAAATGTTACTTTAAATATTATATCTTGGAAATCGTTTTGTCCTTAAACGACTTCTATCATTTTCTGTGTGAGAAAGTTAATGTAAATCGATAGGGAATTTTCGAAATATTTTTTAGAAATTTCTTGATTTCCGATTCCGCCAAGTTCGACCAGAATTGGAAATAGAAACAGACGCTCTTTTTGCGCTTTCCACTCAACAGACAAACTACGGCTACTCCGAATTATATGGCATTTCTTCAAAACCTTTGCCGTGGGGCCCAGGCAGCGGGAGCGAGCGAGACGGGGATGGAGGGTGCGAGCGAGAGCCTAAGAGTGCGAGTGAGACAGAGGCCGGGCGTGCGAGTCGACCACCTTGAGCGGCTACAGCTGGCTGAAACTGCTGGTCGAGACCCAGTGCGCGGTGTCCGGAGGGCGTACCATTAACTATATGGGACCGTAGTCGCTGAGCGCCTGGCCAGGATGCTGGGCACCCGGACCGCCGGGCAGCGTGACCACCACGGACACGGCCCGCGAGTCGATCACGGAGCCCGGGGCAGTGTTCTGGCCGCCCACTCCGTTGTTCCCGTTGCCGTACACGTTGCCAGGGTTTCCGCCCACGCCCACGCCGCCGCCGGAGGCGCCGTGCATCAGGGTGCCGGGGAGAGGGCCCATGCCGACCGTGCTGCTGCTCATCGCGGTGCCGTGGCCCAGGGTGCCGCCGCCTATGGTGCTGCCGCCACCCCCGCCGCCACCGCCGCCCATGGTCGATGCTCCCCCCGACTCTCCATGTCATACGTGGCTGGCCGCCGGCTGCTTGAGAACGTGGTGGTGCAGGTGGTGGTGGCTGGTGGAGGCCACCGATGCGCCGCCCGCCTGGGTGTAGGGCGTGGCCAGCAGGGAGCCCGCCGCCGAGCCCACGGGCATTCCCATTCCAGAGCCGGCGTACGGATGCGGAATCGGTGGTCGCTGCTTGATCAGCGCCTGGTTGGCGCCCGTGCGATCGGGCGCTCCGAACAGCCTCCGCCAGAAGCGTCGCCAGCTCTCCAGGGTCTTGCCCGACCAGATCCACACGCCCGAGGTGATGCCGACGGCCAGGGCCATGAAGTACTTGAGCATCAGCACCGAGTAGAGGGGCTTCTTGCCGGGACCCTTTACTTGGGCGCAAGGACAGGCCAGGGCCTTGATCCAGTCCTCAAAGTAGGCCGCCTCATACAGATAGCAGCCGATCACGATGGTGGCCGGCACCGTGTAGAGCACCGAGAAGATTCCGATGCGGATCATCAGCTTCTCCAGCTTGTCCGCCTTGACTCCGGCGCCGACGCCGCCCTGCTGCTTGATCACCGACCGGATGCGGAAGAGGGACACAAAGCCGGCCATCAGGAAGGTGGTGCCGATCACCAGGTAGACGAAGAGCGGGGCCAGTACGAAGGTCTTCAGGTGGTCGGGGTTGAGGTTGCCCACGTAGCAGATGCCCAGGATGGGGTCTCCGTCCACCGCCGACAGCAGGAGCACGGCCACCGACTGAACGGTGGGTATCAGCCAGGCGGCCAGGTGGAAGTACTGCGAGTGCTTGGTGATCGCCTCGTTGCCCCACTTGAGGCCGGCGGCCAGGAACCAGGTGAAGCTGAGGATCACCCACCAGATGGAGGAGGCCATGCCGAAGAAGTAGGTGAGCAGGAAGACCAGGGTGCAGGAGTGGGGGCCCGTGGAGCTCTCGCGCAGCAGCAGGCCGTCGCAGGCGATCTCCTCGTTCTGGAGGAAGTTGCGCGACAGGTAGCCCACGGCCACCATGAAGTAGCAGGCCGAGAGGAAGACGATGGGTCGCTCCGGGTACTTAAACCTTTCCGTGTCGATGATGAATGTCGTTAGGGTCATGAGCGTGCTGCAGAAGCACAGGCCCGACCACAGGGCGATCCAGAGGCCGGCGAAGTCCTTTTCGTCGTTGCTGAAGAAGGGCCCCTTGCACGGAATGCCGCAGCTTGGCACGCCGGCGATCCTTTGGACAGTGAGGTTCATGTACCAGTGGTGCGGATGGTGCATCATGGGCATCTGCGCCTGCTGCTGCTGCAGCAGCTGCTCCTTCCCCAGGAAGATGAGTGGGGAGCGGCACGAGCAGCTGCACTCTTTTCCGCTTGCCTTTTCTCCTTGGGGATTTTGGCAGTTTTTTGAATTGCGTCCGCGGCAGGGCTTCGACGAGGTGGATCCACCTCCACCGGCAGCTCCGGAGCCACCTGAGCCACTGCCTCCCTGCTTCCGCTTGCCACCGGAGCCGGAGCCGCTGGCCGAGCCACCCGAACCGCCCGAGCTGCCGCCACTGCCCGCCTCCGTGTAGGAGGGCTGCTCCATGCACAGGTTGTCGGGGTCGCCGTGGATGGGCAGGTGCTCGCAGGCCATCCGCTCCGGCCACTCGAAGCTGTACTGCTGCATGATGGGTGCACACCCGGAGCGGGCCCTCTCGCAGACGCTGCGGCAGACGGGCAGCGGCTTGTGGTAGTCCTCCAGGCAGATGGGCGTGTACATGCTGCACAGGAAAAACTTGAGGTCCGGCGAGCACTTGATCTCCACCAGGGGCCAGAACTGGTGCACCTCCAGGCCCGCCTCGTCCTGGGTCTCGTGGTTCATCTCGTTGGGGAAGGAGGTCATGTTGTAGCCGATGCCCCGGCACATGGGTATGGTGATCTCCTCGCACCGTAGGTTGGGATCCTTGGGGATGGCTGGCACTCCGTAGCCGGGCGCGGGACTCGCGTCCAGGCCGTGACCACCCATGCCCATGCCCATGCCGTGATCCGCACTGTGCTGCGGCCCGTCCGCTCGGCAGGATGTGAGGAGCAGGACGAGTCCCAGGGTCAGGACCTTCAGTCGGTTGTGTCTCATCTTGTGCGTCTTAGCTTAGTTCGATTGGGTGAGTTGGGACCACTCGGGGTCGTTGCTGGCTGACCTTCTCTGCGCTTGCACCTCACTCCGCGTGGAGGTGCTTCGAGAGCCGGAAAAGCGGTCGCGTTTCCTTCCAGACACAGCTCCGCGTCAAATCGTCAACGCTCTACAAACGGCGTGGTCTAACTGGAAGAAAAGGGAAAGGATGTCTGGTTAGTTTCAGCTTCAACAGTGACTTTAAAGAAAAATGTTTTCACAATACAGTGGATCTCAAATCCACCCATAGTTCATTGCTAAGCTATATATTATACTCCTGAAGTCACAAAACTTAAACATATGACCATTAAAGTTCCAAGCTTATGATTTTTGTGATACGGAAGTCAGATCAACAGAACTACAAAGTTATTTACAAGCTTTAGTGATAAATGTTTGTATAGTATGAAGGATCTGAAATCCACTGATATTCACTGAGAGATTTATACTCCTTGCAATATTTCATGGATATTAATTTATATGGTATTTCGAACGTCTCAACACTTCAATTTATGATCATTAAATCATTCTGTTTATAGCTTTCATGATAAGGAAGTCAGATCCTGATAGTGTTTGTCCTTAACCTGCACATGTTCGACCGATATTTGAAGTTATTTTTAGCTTTCAACGAGCCGACTGCCCAAATTCAACTGATTTTCCACCCTACATTTTCCAACAGACGTCACATGGAGGGAAAGAGATGGCCGTAGTCGTTATAGTTGATCGCTGATGAGGCGGCGACAAGTAGAAACTGCTCTTTCCTGTTTCTGACTCTGATTCTGATTCGCTCCCTGGAGAACTTTCGCGCTTCATTTGTTTCAATTGAGCGCCGCGACACTTGGACGACATGTCCATGTCACATGTCAAGCACTCGGGTACTTCACCCACCAAACACCCCGGTTTTCCGCTTTCCCCACTCCCCATCGAGTGACAACCCTTCCGCCAATATTTGCTGACGCTTCAGGGCTGTCCCTGCTGATGGTTCTGATTCAGAATCGGGAACTGCTGCTGACCAAGAGCCGCATCAATCAAAATCAGTGAGTTTTATTAAATTTGACGGCGTCTGCTGGCTGCGAACGCATGGTTCCAGTGCAGACAGAGAAAATTCCATACAAAAGAAGGAGTGTTTAGTTTTAGTTACAAATGGTTTTGAAGATCTCCTTTCTTTTAGTAATGGGATTGCAGTTGAACTTTCATATCTTAAACCATCGACACCAAAAAGAGTGAGAGATTAGAGTTCTGAAGAGTGAGATACTATCTATTTCCTTTAGAACTATTTCGACCTATAGAATCTTTGAGATACAGAAGTTTGGGATACTGTATCAACTGTATATATATTGTTTCAAGTCAAGCCTTTGTATGTCTGATATGACCAATCCCCAAATCTATCTTTGTATTACAGACCCAGTTATTTCCCCCAGTGCGTGCTTGATGAAAGTGTTTGCTTTGGTTCCCATCTGAAGAAGGGTGTGAAACGCTGATGGATTGGATGTGATGAGGCAGGAATTAATTCAAGACAATTGCTCACTTGAAGCCCATTCAAAATGGAGGCTGCGAAGCCACCCATCAAGTCAAGTTTCCCCGCACCGCCGGCTGGATAATAAATATTATATGGGTGACACCTTTTTTTGGGAGAATAACTATGGAATGGCAGCTGGCGATATCGATGCCAGCGGTTTGTGGTCAACTCGGCCGGCAGCTGCTCCACAGGCAAGATACTCGGGTCTGAGATACCAAAAATTGACAGCTGGACGGACTGAAGTGAAGGGCAATTTACTCGCCAGCAGCTTCTGTGCTTCTGAGCGCCCAAAGTCACGAAATTTATCTACGAGATACTATATACAGTTTTTAGCAAGTGTCAAGTGACATACATATTTGCGGCTTTGCGGCCAGCTTCAGTTTCAGTTTGGGATCTCAGCTGCGTGTGGTCCGGGGAAAAGCAGCAGCTTTAAAGCTTTGCAGCCAGCTTAGCTCTCGGCTCTTGGAAAACTGTCAACAACAGCTGCAAATAAAACACGGACTCGTCCTGCCTCCCCACTTTACACCCCCCAACTCCTTTGTTCGGCGCTGAAAGTCCTTCCATTGTTTTTCTGAATGAATGACATTTTAATTAATAACATTTGTGTGCGTTAGTCGGCGTCCATCAGAATTTCGCCCCGTCCACCCGACCGATACAACCCCGAAAATAAGTTGCAGAGTGCGGCTCTCACTGAAACATTTTTCGTGTTAAAATGTTTGCCGAGCACTTCAAAATAATTAAGTAAATACGCCACGGAAAATGTTTCTAGGACAGCGTGGGCGGGACGGAAAGCCCGAGCCCAAGTGTTGTGATTACAACTCGAGGGTAGCGCCAAAAATAAACGTTGAAATCCAATATCGAAATGTGGGCCCCGGGCAATCGGATCGTGAGAAACAATGCCAGGCGTGAGGCGGCTATCGATTACAGCGAATACAATCTATTCGAACTGGGGATAGATGGAGGCGTCTATCGGTTGCGGTGATGCTTACGCAACGTTCTCCTACTCGAATGGCAGATTCAGCAAATGGGAATCGAACACAGAAAGATGAGCTGTCACTAATCAAGGTCTAAGAGTGGTTATGCAGCAACCAAATTATTTAAAGTCATGTATTTGTTACAACTAAAGTGGATAATCAGTTTCCCTACCTCTAAACTAAGTTGAAGTCAAAAATCTAGGAGCAGTGTTCTCCGTTTGCAAGTTTACTTGCTCCTCGAATCCAACTACTTTCATCTCTAGTTCAAGTTTGTTTCAACTCGAAATCAAACTTGAGAGTACTTTCGTCTTGATTTCAAGAACGTTTCTTCTCCAATGAGTGAGAGAACACTCTATCCTGAACTTTTTCTTTTCTCATTTTTTCTGGGT